GGGGGTGCATCCATGTAGAGGTACTGCATGTGAGAGGGTCCTGAGGCAGCAAAGAGGACGGACATGTTTAGGATTTTAAATGAAGACCAATAATTGATTGCTAGAGTTTGGGTGTTTAGGGACTATGGGAAAAGTGATGAGAGAGAGAAATAAAATAGGAGCAATATGCAAGACTTTGTAAGCCATATTAAGAATTGTTGTCTTTATTCTAAGATCTTTGGGTGATATTAACAAAGGAACTAATCTACTGAGATTTAGGGCCATGGTTGGTGTATGGAGAATGAATTAGAAGAGAGTAAGAACGGGAAGGTGAAAACTGGTTGGGGTTCTTATTAGTCAGGATTCTCTAGAGAAACAGGATTGAAAAGATACAAATTATTTTTTAAAGGAATTTTCTCAGACAATAGTGGGTGCCGCCAGTTCCAAAATCCACAGGGCAGATGTACCTATGTTAGACAGAGCCTCCACAACTTGATGGGTAGGTGGCATGCTAAATGTGGTTGGAGGCTCAGAGACCAGCAGAATGGAAATTCCAGTAAAAGCTGAGGTTGCAGACTTGAATCCAAAGACAGGAGAGGGAATCCCTGTTTTTCAGAGGACGTCTCTTTTTTTCTCTTAAGGCTTTCAACTGATGAAGGAGGGCCACCCACATTAAGGAGGGTAATCTGCTTGACTCAAAGTCTACTGATTTAAATGTTAATCACATCTAAAAAATACTTTACAGCAACGCCTAGACTGGTACTTGACCTAACAACTGCCCACCATAGCCTAGCCAAGATGACACATAATTAGCTATTACAGGAGTACTAGTATAAAATAAATATATGAGTTGGTAGCTTGAAATAGAAGTACTGATCATGAAAAGTAAGAGCAATAGGAAATAAATTTTAGACTCAGATTGGACAACTATGTGAACAATTGTAGCCAGGTAGAGGGGGGAATATAAATAAATTTCTCTCAGATTTCTGAATCAATAAATTGATTGAATGAGGGTGCCTCTTTATGGGATACAGAACATTGGAGGGGAGCCAGTTGAGGATGGAAGGAGATAATCACTTTAGTTTTAGACACTTTGTGTTAAAATTTCAATAGACGAAAAAATTTTTGTCTCACAAAATAAGTAAAGCGTAGGGAATGAAAAATAAATGTGGTAGTTATCAGGATTTAGAGGTAAATTAAGCTTCACAGGAGAAACACCATCCAGCTCCCTCAATATTCCTTAACATGATGAGAGTCTGACCATGAACAAGGCACTCCAAGAGTCTGTTCCACTGAGTCCC